ATGGGAAGAAGGTGCCCATTTTCCTCCCTCAAAGTTACTAGTGGATCTGAACTAACCAAGGGTGCATGGCCTTTTGGTTAGCAACTCACTACAGACTATGTAGATGGATTTTTTTTAAAGTAGCTCTAACTATTCCAGAGATACTAACAATTTGGAGAAATGTTTCATAGGAGTGATCTGAGTTCTATTTAACCTTTGAACCTTTAAGGCTCAGTACCCTAGTTTATGTTAGATGGAGAAGAGATTAAGGTTGTTAACAATTACAGCTTGCTCGGCTTCACAATCAACACTCTTAACACCAACAGTCAGGACATCAAAAGACGAATTACACTGGGAAAATATGCTGTCAGGGAGCTCTCCAGACTGCTGAGGAGCAATGATGTCGGTCTAGAGACTAAAGTGAGCCCACTCCAGGCCATGGTCTTTGCAGGTACATGCTATGCATCAGAGAGCTGGACAATGACTGAGAATGACAGAAGAATTATTGATGTTGAGTTGTGGTGCTAGAAAAGTGTACTGAAAATACCATGGACCACTAGGAGAACAAACATGTCTGTCTTGAAGAGGGTGAAACCAAGTTTCTCGTTGGAGGCAAAGATTTTGAAGCTCTGTCTCACATACTTTGGTTATGTGGCCTGGAGAGACCATTCCTTAAAGAAGGACATCACACCTGGAAAGGTGGAGGGACATCCGCACAGGAGAGGAAGAGCCCAGATGAGTTGGACTGAAACAGTAACTGGGGCAATAGAGGTTGGTGTGTCAGAATTAGTGAGACTGGCTCAGGACAGGGCAAGGTTCAGAGCTGTTGTACATAGGGTCGCTATGGGTCGCAGGCAACTCAACAGCACATAACCATCACCACCACCACCACCACCCCTACCCCCCAACTTATTAAAGTTAGGAAAAAAGTCTGAGGGAAAAATTCCAACATTCTTATGACAAAACAAGTGACAATAGCTACTATCATTATTTCATAGTAACGATTTTATGGTTGAGAACAATTCTTCTGGAGTTCTTTCTTCCATCTCATTTCTATTAAAAAAAGTTTCATTTTTTTAAGGAAAAAATGTCATCCTTAACTGTAAATAATTGAAAGTCTTTACTTAATGAACTCATAACACTGCTGATATAAAATAGGAAGGAGAAAATGTGAAGAGTGGATACAGAATGAACACTGCATTAGAACGAAGGAGGGAGAAAACGGTCAGAAAGGAATATATGATTAGGCATTATATCTATAAAAACAATCAGGAACAAGGGTGCATTGCAAGGTGGGCTTAGGAAGGGAAAGCAGGGAAGAAAATGTGCAATAATGACTCATAAAAAAAAGCGTATGCTCAAAAAAAATAATGAACTCTACATGTACAGCATTCTGAAAGTCAATTTATTCATTCTATGGAAGGCATAACAACTTAACAGAATAAATTTGAAAATTATCTAGAACATTAAGTTACAGGTACAAAATCAGAGCTCAATCACTAAGTCACAGTAACTGAATTCCTCCTCCCCTTCTTTATACTTTACTATATAATTTCCACAAGTTTCTACAACATATATAAACTATTTTTACAAGTTAGTAGAGGAAGAGTCCAACCAACCAAAAACTCAACCAGGTTTATCAGAAAATAAATGTGCAGAAGTAACTGAACAACAAGCATCCCAAACTGGTAGGTGATGCAAATTCTCTTGGTGCTTGTGTTATTATCTCTGTTCTTTTATGTAAACAACCAGTAAATGGAATGAATTCTGACAGATTTTCAGAACGAATGCTAGAATATCTCTGCTAAAAAACTACAGGATACACACAGATGTCATCATTTAAGGAATTCTATTAGACTTCTAGAGCTTAAAAGCTAATGAAAAATACATACTCAAAATAATATGTGTCAGTACTACATTTTTGGTACTACATAAACTATGTAAAATGCTGCTAAGAGGGTAGAGGGAAATAATCTGACAGATATGGGTTAATGGAAAAAGGTGTTAATGTTACATAAACTATAAACAAAAACTAAAACTTTTTACTATATGGATGGAACATGGGCCAAAGGCTCAAGAAAAAAAAATTACAGACAAGCATGGAATAATCATTTATAAATGGCAAGCAGTCAACATGCTTCTAAGAAGCAAAGATGACAAATCTTCGTTTCCTATACTTTAGGAGAAATCAGTTTCTGGAAAAAGACATCAGACTTTGTTTAGGTGGGGAGAAAAGAGAGGGACTGAGCAGAGGAAAAGAAGAGCTTCAAGCAGACAAACTTACACAGTGGGCCCCAAGCAGAGGCTGAAGCATAGTAGCAACTGGGAGGATGGGGCAGTGTTTTGTTCCACTGTGCACGGGGTTGCTTTGAGCTGAGCTGATTAGAGAGCACCCAACACCCAAATAAGCAAAGCACTCCTTAAAAATAGGAAAAAAGGTAGGAGGTATCTCATTCACTGATTTAAAATCCTACTACACAGCCGTGGTGGTTAAGACAGCATGGTACTGATACAATGACAGACACACAGGTCAATGGACTAGAACTGAGAACCCAGAAATCAGCCTATCTACCTATGGTCTACTGTTTTTGCCAAGGAGATAAAATCAGTTAAGTGGGGAAACAACAAACTTTTTAACAAATGATGTTGGCAAAATTAGAAAACTATCTGCAGAAGATTCAAGCAAGATCCACACCTCACTCCATATACAAAAAGCAACTCTAGGTGGATCATGGACCTAGGACTAAAACCAAGGACTATAAACTTCATTAAGGAAAAGCCTGGAAGAACTCTAGAAGTTCTAATCCACAACATAAACAGTATTCCAAGTATCCTGGAAAATCTATAATAAGGAGAAGATAAAATAGATGAATGGGACCTTCTAAGAATTAAATCCCTATGCACCTCTAAAAACTTCAACAGTGTAAAAAGGGAAGCCACAGATTGGGAAAAAGTTTTTGGTAATGTCAGATAAGGGACTTATATCTAGAATTTATAAAATACTTGAGTACCTGCACTGAAACCGATGAGGGCGAGAATAGTTTAAAAGTAATATATTTTAGGGCATTGTGATTATCATGAAAGTCCGGAATGAGGGTTGCAGAGTGGAGTATACTCGGGGTGGGGGTGGGGGTGTGCGGGAGGATTGTGTATCAATGAAGGCATTTTTCTTTTGCTTTTAAAGGAAAGGAGCGAAGGGGGGGGGCGGGGAGAAAAGTGCAACAATGAATGAATGGAATTCCAAAATCTCTGTAGATGTTCATTAAAATTAATTTAAAACACACACACACACACACACACACACACACACACCCCCCAAACTTGAGTACCACAGCAAGATAAACAACCCAATTGAAAAATGGGCACAGGATATGAACAGACACTTCACACCAAAGAAGACATTCAGATGGCCAACAAGGACATGAAGAAATGTTCAAAATCCCTAGTTCTAAGAGAGATGTAAATCAAAACAACTATGAGATACCATCTCACCCCAGGAAGAATAGCAAAACTTAATAGAACAGTAAGCCACAAATGCTGGCAAGGTTGTAGAGAAACTGGAATTCTTATTTACTGTTGATGGAAGTGTATAATGGTGCAACCATTGTGGAAGGCGGCATGGCACTTTCTCAAAATGTTGCAAATAGAGATACCATTTGACCCAGCAGTTTCACTACTGGGAATATACCCCAAAGAGATCATAACTGACATCTAAGCAGATAGATGCACACCCATGTCTATCACGGCTTTGTTCACAAGTTGGAAACAACCTAAGTGCCCATCAATAAATTAATGGATAGAGAAGCTGTGGTATATTCACAAAATGGAATACTAAGCTGATTTGAAAAACTCATGCAGTATTGTTCAAAATGGGTAACCCTGCTGAGTGAAATATCTCAGTCACAAAAGGACAAATACTGCACAGTGCCACTGTTGTAAAACAGGACTGACACTGGAGTTGGGGGGGAGGGGCAATTGAGAAAAATGGGTTAAATAATGTATACTGCATTGCAATAGATAAGGGAGAGAACTGTTTGAAAGGGATATGTGATTAGGTATTTTTGTCATGACAGGAGTCCAGAATGAAGTCAGAATAGTGGCGTGGACCTAGGGGGAGGGATTGTAAAACAATGGAAGAATTTTTCTTTTACTTTTCAAAGAGAAGAGTGTACTGGGGGGAGAGGTGGGCAGGGAGAAAAGTGCAACAATGAATGAATGGAAATCCAAAGTCTCTGTAAACTTCCACTGAAATGAATATTTTTTTTTTAAAAAAAGCACCTAACAAAAAACAAAGTATGTATCAAGTAACTTAGGTTTTTAATGGAACTCATCCTACAGGTGAGGACAGAAGGTAAGTGGAATATAATAAGTTTTAAATGCCAAACAACAAACTTTCTACTTTATTAACAGAAAAGAAAAAAAAGCAAGCTAAGAACTGTACTATTTGTAAAACACAGTGTAAAGAACAAGTAGAAGTAATTAAGATGATGGCAGACTAAATAATAGGCAAATCAAAAGGTAATAAAGTTGAATGTATAAAAGCGACAATAGAAGCAGAAAAGATACAAAGGATGCTGTTCAGTCACAACAGTTAAGTTTAGGTCTCCCTGTTACATAGGACACACAAGAGCACTCCATTTCCCTTTAAAACTTTAATTCAGTTATAATTACTTGTTCAAATTTTTTTCCTACTAAAATCTGAGTTCCATAAAAGAATGAACAGTAGCAGTCTTGCTTATTGCTCTATGTTCTAAAACTCTGTATGCCAATAATTATTGTTAATGTGAAGAATCCACGTTTTCTGTACGTTTTCTCAGACCAGTTAAGAACCTCTCTGTATTTGTCTAAGGTTCTTCAAGCACAGGAACACAACACGTTTTTCCCATACCTAAAATATTTTAAATAATTTCAAAATATATAATCTATGCTTGTCCAGACCCATTTCTGGCTTCTCTTAGAGTAAAAGCTTGCTTAATGTAATGTATTTTCCAAGTTCATGCACAAAAATAGGCTTACAATACCTTAGGGGGATTAAATGGATATGTTTCTGGTATTTTTATCTCTAGTTGGTATCTTCCTCCTAAAAAATGGGGGAAAACAAAGTTAAGAATGCTGTTCACCTCAAATATATAATGCCAAATACTGACAGAACTTTTGAAAACAAGTATATTTTGTATTTAAATCTGTTTTAGAGTTGAAATCCAAAGTTATCGAAGCATACAAATACCCATTTCATATAGATAATGTGAAAACATCAAATTTGTAGACACCCCAACGCTAAAGTATTCATCAATACAATGATTTAGTGCGACTCTGTTAAAATCATCTCCCTTTGTTTTCTCTAGCCAGTCCTCTTAAGAGTTATTCTGTAAGGGGAGCTCTGGTGACCTACTGGCAAGAAGCTACACTGCAATCCCAGAGTTATGCTATTTGAATCCAACAAATACTCTGCTAAAGGGCCAATCTCCTCCTGTACCAGTCAGATCCAATTTGATGGTATATATTTAAAAAAAAAAGTTACTATGTAAGAGGAAAATTAGAAAAAAGGGAGGAGGCTAGAGAAAGGCAGCAAGGTAGTATAAAGGCATAGATGGTACCGAGAGGCAAAGAACATGGATTAGCCCAAAAAGTGAAAAAACTCAAATCTTTCAAATGCAAAATTGTCCTAGTCTTTTGCCTTCTATTCTAAATATGTAAGCATTTCATGTTAAAATTAAGAAAATTTTATATATATACACACATAACGAAAACAAGACGAGAGACCAGTATGAAGAAAAAAAAAGTATTTTAAATGGCTAAACAAAACATAAAACTTTAAAAAGGCAGGCAAAACTCTGGGTGTGAAATGATCTTAAACAACTAGCAGCTAAATAAATATCCTAAAAAAGTTTATATAGCTTCTCATAAATTGGTTACTGACATGGATGACAATAAGTTCTCAGGAAATGCTGAACTGGATTAGTTTTAAACTGGATAAGAAGCTGAACTGAATTCCCAACTTGAAGAAATCTTCCACATATAAGAATTTTTGACTCATTAACATGGACAAAGGAGCTCTGAGGACCTTGACTATAGGGAACTGCATTGCTAATCCAAAGGCCAAGCCTCTCTGGCAGTCTGAATTCACCATTTCTGTGGGAGAAAGATGAGCAATCTACTCTCATACAATTGACAGCCTCAGAAACCCAAAGGAGGATCAGCTATGAGTTGCTCTAACTCAGTGTCAATAATGATGAGTAAAAAGTACTCATGATTACAAAACATAGTAAATTTAACTGTGCTACAAAAATACTGACAGATAAAATTATTTCCATGGTTTACTTCAAAAGAGGCCCCCCCCCCAAAAAAGCTTAGGAATAGATTAAAGAAAATAAAACAGCTGAGTGATGAGTATGGGGAGAATATGCATTATAACATTCATCTTTTGCCTATATATTAAGTATATATAATAAAAAGTAAAAGATAATAAAAATAGCAAATACATTTTTTTTTTTACTCAAATTCCAGAGTCTGGTTTTAGAAAAGGGGATCAGAGTTTCCTAAGCAGACTAAAATCTCTCAAAACTTTTTGCTCCTTTAATGAATGTAGATCTGAGAGCAAAATATAAAAGATCTTTTACTCAGGACAACTTTCTTTAAGACTCTATCTGTTCCAATAAAGTCCTGCAGTACTGATGAATGAACTGAATTTGATGCCTGAACCACAGAGTATAAAACAGCAGTTAAGCACAAGTCTCAGCAAAATAAAACTCCAAACAAAACCAAAAAATCAAACACCAAAACCCAAATTTAAAAAGAAAAAAAAGAGGAGGAGAACCAGGTAACAAAAGGGCCCCGAGATAATCTGTAAATACAGAAACTACTATTTATTCTCAGAATTAGCTCTGCTACCCTAAAATATAAGCACAATAAATGTGACCTGAGTAATACTGAATCTCTGATTTTCTTTTCTAAGATTTCCATTTTATTCTGATTAAATGCTAGATTATTTTCTCTTTAACCTTTTATACAAAGTTTCAAATAAGTAACATAAATGATACTGGGCTACAGAGTCTCCAAGCTTCTATTTCTACTCCATATGCTATTTAAATACTGTCTTGCATTATTACTTAACAGTTTTCAGTATATAACCATTATTGCTTTATACAAAGCATTATTTGTTAAAATATGATGGCAACGTAACTGCCACAGAAATCCTGTGATAACGACTATATTAATATTATAGCAACTATCACAATAAAATATGTACTTACTGAAAAGCAGCTTGTAATATTAACACTTTATAATTTTCTTTTATTATTATTTTTGTGTGTGTGTACTGTCAAATCAGATCTGACTGGTACAGGAGGAGATTTGCCCCTCCTTCTCCAGCAGAGCATCCGGTGGATTTGAACAGCATATCTCTAGGATTGCAGTGCAGCTTCTTGCCACTAAGCCCCCTATAATTTTAAATTTTTTAACATTAATTAAAAATTGAAATAGCTAGGTTTTATTTTAAATATCAACAAAGATCCCATAAATGTAGAAGTACTCTTAGTAAAGAAAGGTTGAGGAGCTGAAGGTAAAAAGTCTCAGAAAAAGCTTTTCATTGCTTCTTAACTATTAAAGCACTGAAGCTTAGAATACTGAGTAAAGCACTATGAGTAACACAGCTGTATTTTCACTGATACTCTGTTTTTCAATCTGATTAAATATAATCTATTTTAGCAAATTATATCTTCGTTTTTAAGGTTTGGAGATTGTGTTGTTAGGTGGGTTTTTTAAAAAGTCAATTCTAAAACAAGGAACTAATGCAATATTCAAAATGGGTGACCCCGCAGGACATTATCTCAGTCACAAAAGGACAAATACTGCATAGGGTCACTGTTGTAAAACAGTGACTGACATAGCGGTTGGGGGAAACTTAGGATAAATTCTGTATTATTTAAGATGGGATAAATTATGAGGGAGAGAACTGTTTAAAAGAGATATGTGATTAGCTATTACTGTGAAGACAGGAGTCCAGAACGAAGGCTGCATAGTGGAGTGGACTTGGGGGAGAAGGGTCGTATAACAATGAAAGAATTTTTCTTTTCTTTTCAAAGAGAAGAGCGAACTAGGGGAGAGGTTGGGCAGGGAGAAGAGTACAACAATGAATGAATGGAAATCCAAAGTCTCTGCAAACTTTAACTAAAATTAATTAAAAAAAAAAAAAGGTCAACTCCAAAAATTAGGAAAAGCCTTACAATAATTATCAGCAAATATCTCACTCATGCTCAAATTTAAAAGTAAAGCATCTTTGGTACTTTTCTTAAACAAAATAAAAAAATCTTTTAGGGAGCTCTGGTGGCCTAGTGGCAAGAAGCTGCACTGCAATCCAGAGCTAATCAGGTTGAATCCACCAGATACTCTGCTGGAAAAGGGAGGGGCAATCTCCTGAACCAGTCAGATCTGATTTGACGATACACACACACAAAATAATAAAATAAAATTAAAAGAAAAAACAAAACAAAACAAAAATCTTTAATACTTTTATGAGAAGGAAAAGAATTTACTCTATCTCAAATACAAACCTATCTTAAAGGACCAAACCCGTTTCCAACTTACAAAGAATATGGTTTCTTTATAGTCTGATTATCCTACAAAGAGATGTACATCATCCAGATTTTGAAAAATCACCTACTTATTAACCTAAAAAGACAAGATATTCGAGTTGTCTAATTCAGCTCAGGATGTGCCATGTTTACATAAATTAAATCACTAGAAGAGCTCTACTACAGATATGTTATATATTTTTTTATGTTATATATTTCTAGTAATATGTCTACACAACCTAAAAAAGAGTATTTATACTGCCTGTCTTTAAGAAGCTAATTATCATTACAGCTACACAGAACATCTCCTATTAAGATATGCACCTGACTTTTATATGGTAACTAAAGGTCTTTTTCTCTACTTAACTGTCAAAAGGAATAAATAAAATAACATCCATACCAGGCCTGCCATATAGAAGATGTTCATCAAATATGAAAAAATAAATGGTAATGCCTAGCAATAGAGCATATCATGAATTATGAAACTAATAATACAATTAAATCACTTAAGAATTGATCATCTATGGCAGAGAAACAGTATTCTATAATACAAATTTTGAGATTTTTTTTATATCTAGCTCATTACAGTAGAATCATCACATTCAAAGTACACAGGCACTATTTAAATATTCAGTCAATTCTGAATTAATCAAAAGCTAACTAACTAAAAGCCTAGGCTTTGAAGCCAAAGGTGGTTAAGATTCAAATCCTAGCTCGGCCATTTAGCAGCTATTTTATGTTAGAAAAATTACTTGATGCCTAAAGTTTAAGCTTCTTCATCTATGAAACATTAATAACTATTTATACCTCACAAGATCTGCTGCAAGGACAGAATGAGGAAATGTATATAAAGCTCTCATTAAGAGTTTAATAAATGATATTACTATGTTTTAATGACTGTAATATGCAAGAACTTGATTATGTTATTAAACCCTAACTTACCATAATTTTCACTACTATATGATTAATAAGAAAATTTTTTTTAATTAGAAAATATCCTTTCTACCTTATCACTTATTCCATGGTCTTAAGTTGTAGTTACTTAGGTTGTAAACCCTAAGTTCTGAAAAGCTCCTTTCTTTTAGTCTTTAAACAATCACTCAAAGCTCTTCTAAATAAAGAAAACTGAATATTTATTATACAGTCTGTAAGGAAAGAACTTATGACTGGAAATACCAAATGAAAAACAAGAAGAGTTCTTAAAACAAAATAAAGGGCAGCAACCAACGTCATGAAACAGTCTATGTACAAATTACTTAACAAGAAATTAATTTGCTCTACAAAATGTTCACCACTAAACCACAATTAAGTATTTTTAACATTTTGTCCATCAAAAATATAAGGCAAGGTTTATTACATATAACATGGAGGACATAGAAGAGTCTGTATTCTCTTTATGTAGAAGGTGTGATACAGTCCATGTATTACACTGTTAAGTACTAATCTGTAACTTGCTCTGTCTTACCTATTTTAGGGAAAAGGAAAACACCAATCCAGTAGAAATGGAAAAAATAAAACAAAGGCCCATTCTATATAATTTCTAAATTTATTATTTATAAACTGTTAGATATATATGAATGTGTGAAATACAATGCAAATGAAAGATTGTATAAAACATAATGTAGGAAGAAAAAAAATCTGAATAAATGACATATAACCAATAAAAAACCCCAGAAACAAAGAAAAACTGCTAAACCAAATGACATTAGTGTCCAGTTTACAGCCACTGAACAGTATGCTGATTTAAATGTTTTATACAAGTTCTAATATATGCACAATTATTTTGATACATAAAAAAAGTACTTGCCTTCATATGGTGTGTCTGGAGGTCCTGCTATTTCTCCTCTTAATTCTGTAAAATTCTCATCTACAAGATCTACTTTAATTTGATTTTTGCTCGTCTTAAAAATAAACAGAAAATAAATATTAGTTATGTCAACAAAGAAAAAAGTCTAGTTTAAAATACTATCTATAAATATTTTTTAAAACCCTCTTGTTTACATTAGTGAAAATAAGCATTCCTGCTTATTAAGGACCATTTTCAAGAATATTTATGACAAAATTTAAACAGTATTAAAATTTAATTTCACTGACATAACACCACTTTGAGTAACAGTATGATGGTTTCTTAACTTTACAGAACTATCACTAGAGAAATAAACATCTGGTTTAGCGTCATTATGAGTCACAGTCAACTTGATGTCTTTATCTACTAAGTCCATGTATATTAATCTGTAGATGAACACTGCTATACTATTTCTCAAGAATGCACTGGTTCTTGATATAAAACAAATGCATGATCATTAAGGCAATAATTTCTAATCTGACCTAAACATAACAATCTAAGTTAACCAGAACATTGCTCTACCCACCAAAATGGTACAAACTCTAGGTATTGAATTAATTCCTCTTCCCATGAAATTTCCCAAAGTTTAAATGCCTAAGTAAAATATTCTTCTGGTGGCTCTGGTGGAGTAGTCTTGAGAAGTGCTCTTAATAACCTGAAAGCAGTATCCCTCTAGCAGTTGAAATACACCAGAAGCTTCAGGACAAAAAGATGGGCAACCTCCTCTTGAGCCATTTGCAACTTAGGAAAATCAAAAGAGGAGCTAAGTCAGTTCTAACTCAAAGGCAATACATTATTTTTATAAATACTGCACACTAACCAATTGTACCACTGGAGCTACCTTCAAAGGTAATTTTTTTAAAAGAAAATTCTAAATGCTGCTTCAATTTTTCTGCTTGGTTAGCTTCAAGGAAAAGCACAACTTCATAAAGTACAGCTGCATATATATCTTTGTTTCTATTTTAAATGTTATCTATATTAGACTGTTTCAGAATCAAACTCATGGTACCTAACAATAACAACAAATCTACTCGTCTGTATGTCACACACTTCTCGAAGTACTTTCACCTTAATAGTATCAAATGAGTCTTTCAACAATCTACCATGGTCTACTTTCATATTCACCAGTGGCCTAAGCAGAAAACTGTCCTCTGGGCTTTCTATTTTCATGTGAATATTCACAAATACCTGTCTGCAAATAAGCTCTCCATTTAAATTTTTAAACCATTTCTAGTATCTAATACTCCTAACAGAGGAAATCCTGGTTTCTTAAATCAAAACCTGTTACATGAACTGTTTTCACTTTTGTATGTTACAATCCAGATTTTGCCTGACATAATACGTATCCTCAATTCTTTTTAAAAAAAATTCTCAATTCGAAGAAATTAAAGTTTTGTATCATAAGATTTGAAGAGCGACTATTTGGTCCTGAACATATTTTCTTAAACTAACTTACTGAATTCAAGTGTTAAAATTACTGGTTTAAGGTTCTTTGTTCCCTAGTTTTGAAGGTTAACAGTTTCTTTTTCTATATTAAAAAATTTTAGTACAGAGTATTTGGGACAGAAACAACATATACTTCAAATTTTCATGTAATATATAAAAAGTATATAACTTTCATGATTCTTATTTAATAGTTTTATAATGGAAACAAAATATTTTTAGAAATCTACTTTTGCATATTCTTAAAAATTCCAATTACTACTGGTGTATTTCACAACTCTCTATACATCTGGAATTATATATTTTCATGAAATTTAATTCTAAATATATGCATATAAAAAAAAATTCATCTAAGGGGAGCTCTGGTTGCTTAGTGGCAAGAAGATGCACTGCAATCTCGGAGGTATATGGTTCAAATTCACCAGATGCTCTGCTGGTAAAGGAGGGGCAATCTCCTCCTGTATCAGTCAGATCTGATCATACACAAGAAATCATCATCATCATCATCATCACTGTAATGAAAAAAAAAAAAAAACAAAACCAACCCTACTGTTGCTGTATGTACTCTTAAGTCAGAACCAACCCACAGCAGGTTTCTGCAGATAGACAATCATACAGGAAAAAAATACCCATCTTTCTCCCAGGGACCAGCTGGTGGATTCTAATCGCATCCCTTTGAGTTGGCAATGCAGCTCCTCACCTATAAACCACCAGAACTCCCTAGAGAAATTACACATTTGTTGTTGTTATGTGCCGTCGAGTCGTTTTTGACTCATAGCGACCCTATGCACAACAGCCCTAAACCCTGCTCTATCCTGTACCAAGTGCACTGCCTCTGACACACCCATTCCGATTACCCCAGTCACTGAATCAATCCACCTCACAGAGGGTCCTCCCCTTCTGCACCGTCCTTCCACCCTCCAAAGGATGATGACCCTCTCCAAGGCCCTCTCGCTCCTTACAACATGTCCAGAGTATGTCAGACGAAGCCCCAGAACCCTTGCCTCCAAGGAGTAGCCTGGTTTAACCCTCTTCAGGATCAATCTGTTTTCCTAGCAGTCCAGGGTACATTCAATACTCTTCTCCAGCACCACAGCTCAAAGGCATCAATTCTCCCTCTATCCTCCTTAGTCATTGTCCAACTCTCTGATACATAACAAGTGATTGCAGAGACGATGGCCTGCATCAGATGCACCTTAGTCTCCAGAGAGACACCATTGCTCTTCAGTACTCTGGAGAGGTCCCTAACAGTAGACTTTGCATCGCAGTACGTATTTTGATTTCATGGCTACTGGTGCCAAGAGTGCTGACCGTGGAGCCAAGCAGACTAAAGTTGTTAACAATCTCAATCTCTTCACCATCCATCCTGATGCTGCCAATTGGTCCAGTGGTAAGAATCTTTGTCTTCATGGCATTGAGCTTCAATCCATATTGAAGGCTGCAGTCCTTGACCCTCTGCAGCAAGCATTTCAGGTCCTCCTCAGTTTCAGCAAGCAGGGTTGTGTCATCAGCATAACGCAGATTGTTAATAGATCTTCCACCAATCCTGACGCCACACTTCTCCTCATAGAGCCCAGCCTCTCAGGTAATCTGTCCTATATACAGGATGAAAAGGTATGGAGACAGGTCACATCCCTTGCGTATGCCTTTCCCAATTTTGAACCATGCAGTGCTTCCTTGCTCTGTTCTGACGACTGCCTCTTGGTCCAAGTATAGGTTTCACATTAGCATGATCAAATGTTCTGGGATTCCCATTCTTCTCAGAGTCAGCCACAGTTTGTTATGATCCACACAGTCAAACGCCTTTGCATAATCAATGAAACACAGATAGACATTCTTCTGGTATTCCCTCCTTTCAGCTAAAATTCATCTAACATCAGCTACAATATTCCTAATACCACGACCCCTTCTAAACCCAGCCTGGACTTCTGGCAGTTCTCTGCTGATGTGCTGTTCCAGTCATTTTTGGATAATCTTCAGTAGACTCTTGCCTGCATGTGAAATCAATGATATCATTCTAGTTTCCAGACTCTGTTGGGTCACCGTTCTTTGGAATGGGAACAAATATAGATCTCTTCCAGTCAGCTGGCCAAGTGACTGTTCTCCAGATTTCTTGGCACAACTTGGTGAGCACATCCAGGGCAGCATCTGTTAGCTGAAATATGTCAATTGGTATATACCATCTATTCCGGGGGCATTATTTTTTGCTATTTCCTTCAAAGCAGCTTGAACTTCTTCCTTCATCACCATAGGCTCTTGCTCATATGTGATTTCATGCATTTTTGTGCCTCAGTTTTATCCTGTTTAAAATGGAGACGATACTTCTGTCTTTCTAGAGTTTAGGGGCAAATTTATTTATTAAACAATGCTTGACATACAGTACCTTGGAGCCTACAGAAACCCTTTAATATTGGAATATGCTGCTTTTTAAAATAATGATGATGGAGAGTAAGATTCTCTACCTCCAATAAATACTGTGCATGTATATGTGTGTGTATTTTAATGTAACATTTGTCTCTCTTCTCCTTATTTTGGACTGTATCTTTAAATGCAAAATGCATATTCAAATTTCAGACCAAAAAACAAGAGTTCTAAATTCTCCTCAAATTCATCACAATTCTCATTCATTCATTTCCTAGTCAAATCAGTTACTAAAATATAGATGTGATCACCAGTACGCAAATAAATATGAGTTCAACTCTTCCTAATTTTTTGGAAATGAGATTCTAAAGATTGAACAGTTGACACTACTATTTCATAACTTACAGTAAGGGGTTTAGCTTTCTCTATTATGCTAAGTGTCAAGAAAGGAGATCTTTGAGAGTTTGATCCTAGTCAGAGGAACTGACTTCAAGGACAGGAATCAGAAATGAGGGAGATGACTAAAGCCAACACACTTCAAAAAGAACTATACGTTATCTTTACCAAGTAATAAAACAGCATTACTAGCCAAAGATTCCTACTATTAATGGGGAAATCTATTTCCAAGGACTCCTCAGAAGTACTAAAGAGTAAGCATGTGTGTTTAAAGACTAGCTGTGCTTGACCCAGCCATCGTATTTTCAACTGCTTCCTATGCATCCGAAAGCTGAATAATGAATAATGATGACAGAAGAGACTCGGCTAGATGGGCTGACATAATGACTCTACCAATCGGCTCAAATGTGTCCGAGATGGTAACGATAGTGCAGAATAGGGCAAGATTCAGATCTGCTGTGCACGGGGACACTATGAATCACAGGTGACTTGAGAACACACCTACTAACATGACAGTTAAAAAAGAGCCTTGGTTGCATAGTGTTAACATGTTGCACTGGGAACTGAAAGGTCACTAGTTCAAATCTACCTGCTAATCCACTGAAGAGGAGCGGGCAATCATCTCCTGTAAAGATCTACCACCTCAGAAACTCAATGGATGGTCAATTATGAGCTGGAATTGACAGCACTGAGTTGGGTTTGGTTAAGATGGTTAATGTTATGTGTCAGTTTAGCTAAGCTAGCATTCTCAGTAGTGTATTTATGCAATGATACAGTTGTTTTCCATTATGCGATAAAATGTCATTGTCTCTATGATGTGATCTGCTAAAATCAATCAGTTAAAAGAAGATTCCC